CGTAAAACATACGAAAGATTTAATTATGAAGCAAACATGATTTTTTAAAAACTTCCTACTTCAATGCCAAAGCAAAACGCGCTAGCTCGACTGATCCGGTTAAACATGCTTTTATTTTGGCGGGACTGCCGAATTGTCACTTAGCCTAAATCTTGCAAAGGGTACGAATTAAAATTTCAATGCAAGACATACATGCAATGGCTTTGTTGGCTAAATGGTCTCCGTGACCACTGCCCCTGAAACTTATTTTCGCCTTGATCGGCTATTTAAAGAAAATGCATATCCTAAATTAAAATCTAAGGGCAAACACTGCATCCCCGCTCTCACTAGCCCCCCTCTATGGATCAAGCAAATATTAATATGTTTGACGTCGACAACTGTGACGCAATCAACAACTCGACAATTATTACGTCATGATCATAAATGCTTCTGATCTCAGGGTCGGCATGATCAGAAGCGTGTTTTGCATGCTGGGAATTTAGTAACAAAATTCAAATATGTATATTCTACGCTTTGCTTGGAAGGTATGTAACGTAAGGAAGTGATTTCATGCTCTGTCTTAGGCGTAAAACAATGAGCTTGGCCTCAAATCCAAACAGTCCGAGTAATTCAGTTTTAACTGACTAGTACATTAACTCGTAACATTTCAAGTAACTATTTTTATAGTACTGTTCAAAGCAATTGGTGTTCTTCAAAAAAAGTTTTTAAGGGCATCTATTAGTTTATTTAAACAGACTGTTGTTTCAAATGTAATTATTAGCTAGTTTGGTTTGGATTCAGGCAGCTCGTAACCGTTATTGAGTCCTCAGCGACTTCGCATTTCAACGGGTAGATAGGGTCAAACCTGCAATAGTTATCCTCCAATTTTTTGGTAACGAGCTCAGTTTTCGTTATCATGGATGTTCTTGATGCATGTTGAATGTTTTGGGTAAAAGTATTAGGTTGCAACAGTAATGAGTTTGTAACCGTGGACACGCACCAGTTCAACTTTTATGTACTTATTCACTTCCATGCTGTTATCAGACTTATGTGAGGCACACGTTGCTTCTCCATGTAGGTTGTGTGTGAGGTTACAGTTGTTCATAGCCAAATGTAAGTGAACGGTGACATGGGAGTTCTGCTACCGTGCTGCTTTCTAAGATGCGTGTGTACGAATTAGCGCCGTACAGCGAAGAGGTCAGGTTTAATTACAATCTATCGTAAGGATTCAACTTTCGAAATCTCGTTAGGTATGCATCATGAATTTCTCTGCACCCTTCCAGCTGTTGAAAAATTTTGAAAGGCTGGAAAGGCTGGATTATGCTGAGACAGCTTCAGCCCCAAACATACGACATTTGAGAACATAATTGGGCTATTGGGGTAGGAGGCTCAAAGCGGCCTGAGGGTTTGTCAGATTATCACGGGTTAGTTTTGAGAGCTTGGAGGAAACGGTTGCAAAATTTTGGGTTTTTAATACTGAGTTTGTTGCGCTACGATCATTGTTCTGACGTGAAAAAAAATGAATCTGATTACTTCTGGGAAGGCAAACTACAAGCTAGCCTTCTATTCCCACCGAATAGAAGTGGATATGATTTTCATGTGCAACATTTCCATAGGATACAGTAAACAAGGACAATGAAGGCAGAGTAATCTGAGGAAAAGGGTGAAGTATAACAGCTGCCATGAAAGTATAAAAAAGAACTTCGCGACTTTTAGTTGGTTTTCGTTTTCTCCAAAGCATTAGGAGATTTGGCCGTTTGATGATCGACCTTTTAAGGTCAGTTCTGCGATTATTCTTGGCACTGACTTGATGCGATGCGGTGATGATGCATTTGAGGGAAATCCATTGCTTTTATCACTATTCGCATATCATAATATGGAAGTTCTATTGCTTAAGGGCATTACAGAAAATCGTTCCATCTGTTTCGAAATGCATGAGAGCAGGTTCGAATTCGTATGGCGAGGAGGAGGGAAGGAGAAAGGATATCCAGAGTGTGCTATGAATATTACTGTGTGGAAAAAGAACGCGTATTGACCATTGAGGCATCACTTCTTTGCTTGAGAACTCCTCCACTGAAATCCGTTAACTCTTCTCGATGGATAATTTAACAAGATAGCTGCGAAGGATACGGATCTCATGAATCTCGCGTTTTAATACAGGTCTATAAGCTACACATTGCAATAGAGAAACTTGCTTTCAGAGCTGCAAGGCATACGCACTTTCGATGTTTCTTAATACTCGGTCATGGTTAGAGAGCAGTACAGATTGTAGCGTTTGTTTAAGGCGTATATTCGAGACTGTCGTGTCATTTCAAATTCTCCCGCAACATTGGTTATTACTGGGTACAGATCTATCAGCCGTCGATCATGGTGGTCATTCTTTCGTGGGTATCGTTTTGGATCAACCGCGACTCGGCACCGGCACGGGTCACGCTCGGCATCATGACCGTGCTGACGATGACGACGCTCATCACCACCACCAACAACCAACTGCCTAAGGTGAGCTACATGAAGGCTGTCGACATCTTCCTCGGCTTCTGCTACCTGATGGTCTTCTCGGCGCTGCTCGAGTATGCCGTCGTCAGCTACAAGGTGAAGAAGGAAAACGACTTCCGCAAGAAGAGAGCCATCGAGTCAACGCAGGTGCAGTCAGCCACGTCCCCTGTTCCTCCGAGAACAGCAACCGAAAGTCTGGCCCGGCGGAGGATTCCGCCGGTTGCCGCAAAACAAACCAGTGGCCAATGTCCGGATGTTATCGCGCAGTACCAACTTTCGGTAAGGCTTTCATCAACTGTTAAATTTTCCAGGCTGAGATATCTTGCATCTCTTCATGTAGCAGAAACTGAAATCTTGAGCTTCAAGTTTCGAAGCATCTTCTGAGGTAGATTTAAAATACATGAAATTTTGTTCTACTCTTAGTGCAACCGATTCTAGAAAAATATTCCCATACGCTTCCATATTTTAGATATTCTGAAAGGGAGGGACAACGGGACAACTTCGTCTGCCTATATTTTCCATTTACATAAACATATGCATTGCTCCGTGATTACCTCTGATGTGAGTCATATTCCGTGCTCCTTTGGAAGTGGAAATAAATGTTGCAGATTCCTTCTAGGTGCGGCGCTCACGGCAGTAAAACGAGCAGTTTCGCCCCATTATTAAACTCGCTATTCTCACTGCAGCCACTTCTTTGAAATTCGCGTAGGCAGCAGGGCATAATTGCAATGTTTTCTCTCTGACAGAAAGGAGCAGGGATTACTTGAAGAAGCAGAGCTTGCCAACAAGATATAACTGAGATATGTTCTACCAACGGTTGGTGCTCCAAGGCTTCTTACCTCAAAAATCAGTGGAAGCCTTTATGCTGTGGAGTTGAGCCAATCATGTTGCGCAAACAGACTTGAGAGGGAGAAAAAATATTTATTTTGATGAATCACCCAATATTATGCAATTGCTCCAGCGGGTCATATCTTGCACATTTATTCAGCGTCGTAAACGTCGGTTCGCTGCAAATTCATAAGATGTGTCATTCGATGCCACCACCTTCGCGACTACGCTGCTGCTTGCCGTGGATCGGATGTCTTTAACGGCCTATCCATATGAATATTCGCGATATATTTATCACGTGCTTCAAATATCTGTTTTCGTTTAAATGATGATTTTTATAAATTCTTTTCATATCGCTCCTTAGGCTGCAGAGGCCATTCCTGGCGACCGCCGTGCTTCTAACATAGCCACGACATCGCGTGAAGAAGAACCTCCTCCCATATATCCTCGCTTTCAGCCAGTTTCCCCAAAATTGCTCAAAAGGTCTAAGCTAAGGACAAGAAATCACTTCATTTGGAAATCAAGCAGCGTCGACAAGCATTCGCGCGTTGTCTTCCCGATCATCTTCCTCATCTTCAACATTCTCTACTGGAGCATCCTATGCAAGAAGAGTGGCAAAATCTGACCTCCCTGGTGCTGACCATCTGCGAATCCTGCCAAAGCACTGCCAAGAGCGCCATCTTCCGCTGTCACCACTGCGACGCCGCCGGGCGATCCTGATCGATGTCGGAAGCTGGACCTCATTCGAGGGCGTCAATCACGAAAGCAATGTCTTGCTAATCGCAGCCGCAAATCTGGTTCTGGTTTGGATTGGACGTTTCGCCTTGGACAGAATCAGCCCAGCGTCGAACATGGTCTCATCGTCTTCTATGTCGATGCCGTAACAGGCCTGCTAGGAGTTGAATGCCGATCACAAACGGGATGAAATTAAAATCTTTCTGTCATTATGATGAGCGACCATAAATGAGTTTATTCAATTGTTTCGATTCCCACACGATTTCCATTCGTTCAGATGGCGCTTAAACAGCAAACAGATGAAACAGCTCGTTGGTCGGGTCTGCCGCATCGACGTTCGTTCTGTCAGCGGCCCAAAGACCCGTCTTCATGTGTACAGAATGATACACAAGAATCTTTTCAGACAGTTTTCTTCAACAAGCAAGTACACAGTGTGAAACACCAATTACTTTCCACCACATGCCGAAACCATCCATTGCCAAAATGTTCAAAATCTTCCGTTTCTTTCCTGCTGACGCACAACTGGCTCTTTTGCACTATTCCTGAATGACTGAGGCAATGTGCTTCATCCATCGACAACTGACCATTGGAAATGCAACTTCAGACTGACATTAGGTAAAGTCAACTGCTGCGGTGAAGGTCATTTCGTTTCCGCAAGCCAGTCTCCTTCAACGACCTGTTTTTAGGTTTCGCATTGTTTTCGAGAGAGTCTGCGGTCAAAGCACAATTTCCAATTGAGAAAATTTTGAAACACGTTTCCATGCTCTGTTTCGATCCTTCAATCAAACTGGGTCAAGCGCCGGTCTCCTGATGTATCTGATGGTTTTCCCAAACGATTAATCGGCATCACTTGCGCGTTCATAAGCCAATGGCACTACGACACTTTGAGAATATTTCGCACCTGCCATTTGCAGGTGTGTCAACTTTAATACTGCACTACGCGGCAGGGAAACGGCATTGTATGGAAATGTCATTACAATTCCAATTGCAACCTTTATTGGGATGCAGTCAATAAATGCCTAACCTCATGACTGACTACACGTATAGATTATTCCCAAATAATTAACGCAAACTTCTATGAGACCAGCTTTCGAAACATATTGCGCCGTCCACTTGCTCATAGTTGCCTAGGGGGCCTCTACACACGTCCTGGCTCATCGGTATTTCAGCACCTGCAGTGCCATGCACCCGTTAGCGTCTTATCCGTTAGCGCTGCCTTGCGACAATGATAAAGACAGCACTGCTCATAAGCTATCGAGTAAGCATCAACGCTTATTCGTGCAACACAGTATATTAAATATCGCAGAACTCGTCCAATGGCAGATTTCGAGTTATTTTATTACTGTACGTTATGACATACATGCATACATGATATATATGCCACTAACGGACAGAGTGTGTGTAACTAAGAAGAACTTTAAACCAGCATAATGTTCAACGTCCTTCAGGCAGAACCTTGGGCATCGTTATTCTCCAAATGCACGAAAGAAGTCACTCTGTGTCATCAGCATCATCAGCCCCACCCTGTCGCAAGCTCTGTTTTGTCAGTTCCGCCTTTATTTCACATCTTACTGACCTGATTCACATTAAACACGTCTGAACGTGATTTCTGAGAGGCCTCTTTCGCTACGAAGAATACGGACACAGAGGAAGGCACCACAATGAGCAGCTGTCATCTGTTTCGATTGTTCGTTATAAAACGCCGTACAAATTTTTGAAAGAAAATGCTCTCGTAGGCTCGTCATGGAACTTAGGTGCTCCTAACGAGCAAGAAAACCTTAAGCAAACAGGTTTACTGTGCGGAAGACATTTCGTCACGTATGCTCCTTCGTTGATATTCATTTGGCAGGTAAGCTTTATCCTTTGTGTCACTGAGACAAAACACAAGTGCTCTCCATTAATAACAAGTTTCCTTTCCGAGAAATTGCAAGGTGGAGCCTCAAACTTCGAAAATCACTTTACGAGTACTGCAGCAACCCGAAGACGATGATGTGCGGTTTTTGCATATCACTGCTCAGTTCTTCTATTGAATCGCGAGGTGGTATCGATCTTCGTAATGACTAACTGACTCCTCCAAAACTGCGTTTGTTTCTTCCTTCTGAATCATCGCCGCTGAAGCAGAAGACGACGGCAGCGAACGCTCGATCCGGCCGGCAGTTTGAGAATTGCGTTTGGTTCTTGCTCGATTTAACTCCAGAGCTGATCAAAGAAGCAGCAGCATTACTTTCGGCTTTCTTCGATTTTTACCTCGCATCCGCTGGACAAATGCCTCATCCAAAGTCGTTTTTTGGTAAGGTTCTTTTGGGCTTTATTCGTTCCGCGTTACATTATTTTGTTCTCTCGAAATTCACTCTGAAAGTGTTTCCTCTCTTCATTAACCTCCAACGTCGGATTTGCTCTTTCGTCCGCACAGATGCATAAGTTTCAAAAATCTTTTGGTACAGCCTTTAAACACAAGGAAGAAACATGAACAAGCACTGCAAAGTTGCAGCTATCCTTGAACGTCTCAATCATGTTTCTTCCACATGGCAATACAGTATAGAATTTTAAAAAAATCTATGTGCCCAAAAATGAGTCAGTCTAAGTCCAAAATTTAGAGCTAACATGTTACCAACAGTTCCATGCGGTTCATGTACACGATGAATGAGGTGTTCTTGTCACAAAAATGCAACCATTGGAACGGTGGCTGGTTGCTAACGAAAGAATCAGTGATGTCGTACATAAGACCAAGATTAGTTTGCCTGCCGATCTTCTGTATTTACCTAACTTGATGATGTTTATGGCTCGCGATCAGTCATTCCACTAGGTTCATTATCAAGGAATGACTTTGTCTTTGGGTACCTTTTGTGCAGAGTATCAAAAATGAAGACAGAATCTAAATTAGTTTTCGAAATCATAAGCATTTGTTTCTTCATTCGTCGACATAGAATCATTTGGATGAGAAGCACGATTGCCTTAGATTGTTTACAGTGCATTTCTGAGGAGCGGTTTACGTCCATGGAATATGCAAACTCGTAACCAGGAATTTCGACCTGCAGGAACTCCGCACTGCCACTGAACGCTGCTGGTAGCCAATGTGGGGAATTAGATGGTGCAGGCTAGAAATTTTTTTAACTCTTAGATCTCGCTATAACAGTCAAAGGTCGGATTGAAGAAGGATAGGAATTGCGCTGGTTCGATAACCAGGACTCCCTCAATGAGGCAAAAATCGCAAGTCTGCCGTTTCTGAGCTTCGAGAGCTTTAATTTTATGTCGAGGACAAAAGTGAATACGTAATCGTTTGTCAGTTCGTAGCGAAGCTCTCATTAAGATGTATTTTGTTACTGGGCGTATGCAGACGATCCGAAGATACAGTCTACAACCGCTTCATGTGTCCGTCGTTCCTTAGAACAAGAATGGATTGAAGGGCGTGGACTAGCGTATATTTATTTTTCACGTATGCTTTCTTCTGGCGTATGGCTGCGTATATACTTATGGTACACAACCGACATTGGAAACGTAATTGTTTTCCGATAGTTAGGCCATATCATGCACTGTTTTGCTTCAGCTTCTGTTGTTTCTTCCAATATCAAAGCTTTCTTCTGGCGGTACAGAATTTCGACTGCACAAAGTTCAGTGCTGAAAGCAAAAAAAATTGTGAAAGGTTTTTATGCTGTCTGATCTAGCACTTGAATTCACACTACCACATCTGGTCAAGGAAATTTACGTACTGGCTTCCACCTCTTTGCACATGCTTCTGTATTTAATAAAAAGTCTTCAGTTTCTGTATATTCGACTCAGCGTATCAAAAAACTGACGGGTCCTGCCGAGTTCCTTTAAGGTGTCAGTTTTTTGGCAAAAACGGCTTATAACATCACAACATTCATCACTCGTCATCTAACACACGGTTTAAGTTTTTATGAGTGGCTGACTGATTTTTAGAAAATCGATTGAGTGGTTTTGAACAGCATCAGATTGAAGCAACTTCAATATTAAAAGTGTACAAAGGCTGAATGCAAGTATTCTCAGTGATTCATGTGCAATGAGTGGCCCACAAGCTCTCCACAATTATAACCTCATTTTCACGCCATAGCAGGAACGCATCGCAGAGATAGAAAAAGCATGTGAGGTGTGGACTCGCCAATTTATAGTAAGTACTCAAGAACGTTTCTGCTAAGAGAAACTCCTGCCTTTTAAACGGAAAGAAGCGAAAACTGCTAATTGATTCCGGTAAAAACCAAAGCCGAAAAAGAGGTCATCTAGAGAAAGTCTGAATGTGGATTTCTGAGGAAAATTGCAAGAGTTTCGCAATGAGTTATTGAATATAAGAAACTAATCCAGCTGAAGGACGTCAGATGGATGGTCCAGGATATTTTTTTAACCTTTCCTTAGTGCCATACTGCCCAAGTCTTTTACACCATAAGCGGTTATTTGACTCAGACCTAGTTCACTACTTTAGCCGCTACAAAAATAAAACGTGTTTACACAGACCGATTACACGTTGGATGGTAACTAAACCACCAGCTGTTTTGTTTCTAAACACCACAGATAGTCATCTCTTTCAATTGGTGAGTAGCATATCAGGTGGCAGAAGAAAAGAAACAGAGTTAAATTTTATAGAATAATAATCTGTCACTGGGCCGGGTAAATGCTCTCCATAAACCAACCTTGGCATCCACATTCCAAGAAGAGTACAGCGGCCAAAGTTCCATCTCAAAACGCATTAGCAACTGAAATCGAAAAAAACTCATTTATCTTATAACATCTTTGGCCATAGGAATGAATACAATGTGGTGGAAAGACCGAATACATTATCCACATTATCTTCCTCGACGCAAGATCAAACCTTTCTATATCTTGGCATCAGCCTTTAAACTGAATATATGTCCTCTTGCGTGAGACTCTAAAAGAGTTGGTGTGCTGAACTTCTAAGTTGAAGGACATCAACGACTTCGAAGCCTATATTGGTGTGACATTGCTATAGAGCAAGACGAACTACAGCTGCATAAATTTGTTTATCCATCCTATAACACTGAAGTTAGCAGTTTAATTGTGTGTGAGGCTCTATAATGATTGCTCTGTTTTTTGTGACTTCACTTGCGAGAGATTTTTGAGGAAATTAACTTTCTATAAAGTTGGTCACTGCATTTGACATACGGTAGTAAAATATCTGATGCTCAGGAACATATGCTTCTGTGTCTGTAACGAACATGCTGTTGTTGCCTTTTTTGACGAATCAGTCAAGTATTAATCAGTGCATCTGGAGCCAAAATTCTGTTATAGCCTAACCGGACAGATATGGATGTTAACTGCAGCAATTGCAGTTTGCCGTAAAGAAGTGTTTTCGACAAGAAAGTTTCACAACGCGCACTGTAGTCATGAGGTGCTGGAGCATGGTTTCTCAGCTAATACGGCATCATACTCCTCTACCGAACCACTCGTCTTTCTTCTTTCTGATATATACAAATGATTATCACTGTCCTTGATGAAACCTAAGACTGCGAATTCCGCTTGTCAGAGAGCTGCGTAAACTTGGCCTTGAGAAATTGAAGCACTGCTGGAGGATGGCATGGAAATGGAAATCAGCACCACGCCATACATTTAGTTGAAAGAACTGCTCCAGAAATAATCCAATTATTACAGTGTATAGAAGATGGTCATTTTAACAATTACACACTTTCCGTTTCTTTTCTTTCATACTGTGCAACTATGCAGTACAGCTGATTTTTAATGTAGCCTTGCATTGAACTGAAGTAGAAATGTTTTCTAAATAACAGCGATATTGAAATTATCACAAGATATCAAGCGTAACCGAAGCAAGAAAGGCACCAAGCATAAATTCCAATTTATCCACAGCACTTCAAAGGGCTGTTCGCTGTACAGCATTGTTATGACGATTGAACGGTTAATTTGTAATCGAGCTGTTTACTTGTTGACGACGTGGACAATAGCATGGTTTGTGATGCTCGTCAGCCCTCAGAATATGCCAGTGAATTGATTCCTCTCGTAAGAATGATTAAGTGCTAACACAAGGACTGAGAATGCAGAGAGTGGTTTCCCGCGTAATGTAATGTCCCGTTACGAATCAGAACTGTGATTACAGAACCCATGCTCCACAAAGTATATGCAAAATAAATGAAGTTTATGCAAAATAGGCCGACTAATAAACATCCAACATCTTGAGGCTGATCCTCGCAGCAGTAATCAGCGTTTAATGTAATCTTTACTTTCGTCGTTCGCCGAATATTGCATATCATTAGTTACGCGCCAACGAAGAAGTTGTTCATTTGTTTTGTCGATTTTCCATGCAAGTAGCAAGAAACGATTTGGTTGTGGCTTTTGAATTGCATGGGAACTTTATTGAGCAAATGAAACCGTCTGCTCAGTTCTGAACTCTTTTGCCTTAGCGTATCAGAAGAAAAAATGACGTATGATAACGTTTCTAAATTTTACTTTGCTATTACTTCTATATGCAGTTCTCACGCTGTTTCTTTCGCTGTGAAACGTCCGGTTTAATCTCCGGTTGCCTGACGATTAAAGTTGACACAGTTGTTCATTTGTGGCATTTCTCGAAGGTCATTGAATCCGGAACCTCAGATTTATGAAACGGCCTTTATCTGTGTAGAGATTTTCGTGTGCCCTCGACAGAAATGTGGAGGTGGAGAAGTTTGGCGTTTTAGTTTACTTGTTGCTGTTTTGGGCATGACTAAGTAGTCGGTCTGCCGCTTGGACCGTAAATCAATTGTGTCTGCTGGTTGGTAAAACAAGGTCTTCGACCGGTTTTCAATTCGCACCGTTGCCGTAGCGCTGTGCGAGGTTTCGGCTGACAGCGGACAGACGATAATTGCATTCCAATAATCATGCATCGTCTGTAACTCAACCGTGCCTCGGTGATCGCCAAATTAAGATGAGGTACTGTCAGCGTTGATGATGGTTCAAGCGTATCGTCCGGAAGAGCTTCGTGCTCCGTTGGATGGAATCTTCTGCCACCCGTTATTAAGGGTAATGCTTTTCTTTATTGCTAAAAATTGCAGCCTTCATGAATACTAAGCATCCGCATCAGGTTATTAGGAACTTTCGGGGAAATGGGCATTTCATCTCTAAGATCATCACTGGAACAGCGCTAATTCTCGCTGCTTACTTTCGAATCATGAGTAATGTAAGAATGTAAGAATTTCAAATGTACGAATTTACAGTTCGGTTCAATTACGCCGAAAGAGTGACCATTGAAACCTATCGCCACACCGTATCTTTCCAAATTTTGCACGCTACAGCGATATGAAGTACATGTATTGTGTTGTGCTGGTTATCAGGGAGGCACGAGAGGAAGCCACGGCTCTTGCCGAGCTGACCCATTTTCAAGCTTTTCGCATGGTGTACTTGTTTATTCTGCGATATGGTAGTGAAAATTGGTTTTGTTCCCGCATTTTCCACAAGATATTCAGTACACCACCTCCTCTACCTCTTGGAACTCCTCCCATGCCCGTCAGTCGCCATTCACCTGTTGAGTGACTTAGTGGGCGGAGGGTCGGAGGGTGGCTGACGTAAACCTTATTATCTGCATGCTCGTCATGCCTTTCGCCATGTTTATCTTTCACACTGCGAGCTGGTCGTTTTTGCGTCGTCTTACACGGACATTCATTGCTTATCTGTCGGAGTCATGCCGTTGAGCAGCCAATAAATGCGTACGCCGTTCAAGGGTCCAGACGGTGATAGTAACTACGGCGGTGGCAGAGACATCGTCGTCGTGTGCTTTCCGTCCATTCCCACCCTGCGGTGCTTCGATAGCCCTGTCCGGTCCGCCTCACATCACTTCGTTCCACAAATTCCATATTCACCTCAAGCGTCTCCCTCCGTGCCTCATCTTCTACATGGCATATTCAGGTTTGATGAAAGCAGAACTGTCGGTCTTGTACGAACGTGACGCCGAGGCTAGCGCTGGCGAGTCGTTCGTCACCATGACGCCCACCCAAGCGACCGTCTGTTATGCGAAGGTATGAGTGTTTTCTTTGCCGCTGTCGCGATCAATCACCGTCTGAATTCCGTTGCAGGACTGGCTGTCGATTTTCCGCCAGGTAAGCATCCATTTCATACTTCGGCTCATTCTGGCTGCCAAAAGTAATGCAAATTTTAAAAACTACTAATTTGCCTCTTACGTTAATTTTTAGATTTGGAATTAAAAAACGTTTATTTCACCGTTCATCAGTAATCCGAGAAATACACCATGCATTAAAAATCAATTTTATGCTAATTAGGCTTTGCTGTGTAGTTCATTTGCGACAACGCAGTCAGACTTGTTCGATTCATGTGAGATTCACGTCTTTTATTCGGCTCATTATGTTCGCAGAGTCTCCTAGTTATTTTATCGCTGACCACGATGGGCACTTAAGCCAGCACCTTCAGTCTCCTCGTTTCTACAGTAGTTTCTATAGTAGCTTCTTTTTTTCAAACCAAGTCTGTATCGTTTAAAGTAAACCTTTTTATGCACAGTTGGGTAACCAGCCTATTGAAGCATTATGAGCAAAATTATTGTCACTCCTTCAGTTTCTACCATTCCTTGAAACTGAGCTTTCGCATCATTTTGCAATGTCGTTAGTCTAACCCAGGCTGATTCTTCTCTGAGTTCATTAAACATCACGTGCACGAAGGTGTGGTGGCAGTGCCTAAGATGTCGACTCGCGTTTCGATTGTGGCTGAGAGAAGCCTTGACTTAATGGCGGATTTCTTTGAACAAGGAATTTGCCACACGTTGATTCACACCAGGGGTTTTCAGTCAATGGAGCCATCAAACTTAGAACCGGGACGATCCGACTTTGAGCCCCGGCTATTGAATAAATGGAGATCCGTGCCTCATTATTATTAAATTCGTCAAAAGAAAGGCATCAAGCATGGCATCAACATCAGGAAAGTGAAAGGAAGACCAACATTTCAACGGTACAAGCATTCCTTGCTATCGTTCTTTGTTCATTTTTTCTCATTCATCGTAAAAAGATCAGTAATTTTTTCAGATACAGGCAGCAATTGGCTTCAGGTCGATTTCAGGTTACTCAGATAGTCATTGTCTGAAACAACCGAAATTCAATAAATTAATGCATATGAAAGTAGCTAAGAGCGTTTTGAGCTTTAGACTACCTTCATATAAATTTCTTTGCAGTACGTTTAATTTATTATTACGTTTACGCATATTTTTCATCGATATCTGCTGTTCTTGTTACGGCTATGGCTTAGCCAGCTTCAAAGACATCTCAAATCTCTGCTTTCCACCACTGTCGATCAGTCGCTGATGGCCCAGAAAAGACTTCAAGGTCAGCTCTGATAGTGCTCCAGTGGTTCTTGATCTGTTCGCCTATTGTCCAGTACAATGCTGGGTCTGGTGATATCGCAGCAGTGTCCCGAACCAACCGACTAGCGTTTCTTTATAGCAAGAAAATGACGTTGCTGTCGATAAATAATTTCAGCGAGATGATTTGGAAATACTGGAGATCAAAAGATTCTAGTTTCATCGGTATTGCATGCTGTGACAAGGCATTTAAGATGATTTGGCCATCGCCAGCGAAGATGGGTCCAACCACTTTTTGAAACAAACACCTAACTCAAAGCCTGAGGGCAGCGAGAGAAGTGATCAGGAGGCAGAGCAGTGGTTGCTCTACGGTATTCGGTCGCTATCCCTTTGTAGCTGCTCTGTTAGTCGATTGTATATTTCCCTTGCGTCTCAAGCTTCTGTGGCGATATGCAAACAATACAACGGATCTAAATAGCACTGGCATGTGATTACGGCTTTAAACCGTAGATAACTCAACGTGGCAAGAAAATGAGACTGCAATGGCAAGAATAGAAGCTGTAGATTCTGATGTTCCATGCCTTTTTTACAGCCTGGTTCTACTTATTAGCTATTCAGCGAGCACGTTCTATAGAAACTGCGAACATCCATCACAATTTGCCACTCAGTCACCTCCTGACACATGACTGGCTGCGATTCAAATATCTGATGCATTTTCTTTACAGACGTCTTCTTTTTATCCAATCGCATTGAAGACGACGATTGGTACCGTAGAAGCATTTCAAGTACACTGAATAAATGTGGGCTCACATATCAGTCTTTTCGGTGCCATTCTAACGAGATTGTTTCCGTGATATGAGAGGGCTGTCTGACAGCCTCCTACTCTCAGGCTTTGAAGTTAGCATTCTCTTTGCAAACCGGCTCTTGATCTTTCGCTGGCAATGATCTCTCTGTCTTAAATAACTTCTCTGCAGATATTCTAATCTTTCGCTTACCACAGCATTGACATCACGTCATATCACTTCATTACTAATATTGATCTTAAATTCATTACGTCTCGATTCTAGGGTTGCGTTTTCAGCATTTTTAGGAGCTGCCATCTCCAAACCTAACGAACGCAAGCCTTGATATCCGCAGCTTGGTGCTATTGCCAACATTTTGAGGTTTCAGGGCCTACGCACCAAGCCTCTTAAGTTCGTCTGACATTTGTTCGTCTGCAGCCGATATACTACCAAGACACCGGTGTTCCTGTGCCCTTTCCACCTCTTCGGTTCAAGATTCATATAGTCTTTGGTCTGGGTTGTACTAGTTTCCATTCATTTCTTCTACTCGGGATTGGAAACAGCGATTTTGCGGCTAGGAAGTTGTCTGCTTTCATATGATACCATCTGCAAATGCAAGAGAG